TGCATGCAAATTTTTTGGGCAACTTTATATTCAGCTTTCTGCACTTCCAAAGAACACTCAACACAAATTTTAATATTACTGTCTTTCATTTTAGTCCTACAATGATTACGTGAGGGAGTTCCACAACATGGGACCACCACCACCATGGCAAGGAATGGTTTGTGTCTTGTTGAATTTGATTTTTCTCCTTAGCATACAGCTTCTTTTTGTTTCCCCCAAAAGGAGTCTGGCATATTCAATGTGCTTTCAACTCTTCACTTTTCCTAAAATGTATCTTTGCTGTAGCCGTGTAAAAATTTTAGGGGGAAAATATTGATAATAAGTATTTTGAAATTTACTTCCGACAGTAGTCTGGCATTCTTGGTAAGCTCTGAAGAGTTAGCAGAACCCTCCTTTAGCATAGAGGGGAGGGTGTGATCACATTCTGTATCATGCTAAATGTTCATGGTAATTGGCTCTTGAACAGCAAATGCATCAAACAGGTGGACTTGTTGAAGAGGCTCATGGAATGGGCTGCTGGGCTCTAGTGTTGTGCAGTGGCTTGCTTTTGGCTATGGCAATGAAGCATGCAGGAAACTGGCAAAATATGCTGCACAACCTAGTTAAAATAAGTCTTCCTGTATTACAGCCTCCACTGAAATGCACTTTTTCCCCCAGTAAGACGAGCAGATACATGAGTGTACATATCTACAACTATGTAGATAGTTCACTTGAACAAGTTGTGGCCTTCATGTCAGGAGAAGTAGTCATAGTAAGGTTATTTTGGTTATATTTAGTAAGTGGCTGGATTTTGTATAACTGTGAGTCTTTTGGCTCTTGTTTTTACTGGCAATGAGCAAAAAGCAGTGCCAGATGTAGAGATGCTCGTATAGCCTCTCATTTTTGTCAGCTGAAACACAACTCCTTACAACTGAAGGAAGTAAACAACCTTGTCAGATGGGAGGAAAAACAGTTTTTTAAACAGTTAAGCTTCCAGAAACTCACTTTTTTTTTTTCTCCTCCCCTCTTCTGCATGCAATCCATGTAGTTGTCCTAGAATCCGGTGCTTCCATTTACTTTCTTTGTAACAAAGATGCAAGCCAAAATGCTTTGGTACTGTGTGAGTGGAGGACTGTGCTGATTGAAGAAATGAAAGAAATAAGCCAAAATAGGTCTTGTTTAAAAAAAAAAAAAAAAAAAGGGCTAGCATTTTGTCAAATAATTTGTCTTGCAAATTATTTTGTTTTTAATTTAGAATAGAAACATATTCATAAGGAATGAGTATCACTTGTTTCTCTAAGAGCTCACTGGTTTGGACAGAATTCACATTCTACATGCAAAGGTTTAAAAAACCCAAAACCAAAACTGCCACACTTATGTAGCAGAAGTTTTATGTACGGTGTCATATTGAGGCAGATGCAGAAGGAGGGATATTGGGCTGTGGGGAGGGTGTTTACCAGACTTCTCCAAGCAATGGTAGAGAGGGGGTAAAGCATGCCAGCCTAATGGAGAATAGTCTGCTGTTCAGTTAGGAGGCTGTGATCAGATTTATTTAGATGCTGTGTTTTCCACACTCCTTGTGTGCATTCCTTTGCTTCAACAAACTTCCTGTAACTTTTTTGTAGCCACCGTATCCAGGTATGGAGCAACCACCACACCACCCTTACTATCAGCACCATGCACCTCCACCTCAAGCTCACCCTCCATACTCAGGACATCATCCTGTACCCCATGAAGCGAGATACAGAGACAAACGAGTAGTAAGTGTCCAGACAGGCAGAGGGGATGCAAGTCTGCAGGCCAGGGTAGGAATCTGGGGTCCAGGGGTGTAGCCTAGCCTGAGCTTTGTTGGCCTGATAAACAGGATATTTATGACCTGTGTTAGAGTTCCTTGGAAAGATCAGTTGTTTAGATTGACTGCACACTTGCTGCAAATTTGAAAAGCCTTTCTCTCCCTGGTGAGGTAGAGGTGAAAAATTCTTACTCTTAAACTGAGGTTTATGCTTAAATTGGCTTCCGGCCTGTCCACCTCTGAACATTTCCATGCTGAAGCTCAGTTGGAATAAGGACAGGCCTGTAACTGTGCTTATTGACAACAAATTACTTTATCAGCAGAAATTTGTGTTTTAAAACTTCTTACAGGCACATCAGAAAACAGGGTGGATTATTAAATTTCTGTTAGCTGGCTTGAAAGGCTCCTTAGCTGTCAGGTCTGGCATTTGAACCCCAGATTCTGCACATGGATGCTGGACAGTTTGTTTGATTGGGTTTGCCTTTTTTGAAATACTGAGCTTTCTGAAGAGTTACAGCCAGCTTTATAGATAAGGAAGGGAATTCTGATCTGGGAAAGAAAATAGCAGAGCTGTCCTTTCATCACAGCACGACTATGACATGAGAGTAGACGACTTCCTTCGCCGCACACAAGCTGTTGTCAGCGGTCGGAGAAGCCGGCCCCGGGAGAGGGACCGAGAGCGGGAGCGCGACCGGCCTCGAGATAATCGGAGAGACAGAGAACGTGACAGAGGCCGTGATCGGGAAAGGGAGAGAGAGAGGATTTGTGACCGGGACAGAGACAGAGGTGAAAGAGGTAGATACCGAAGATAATGTATCTGGAACAGTGCTCACTTGAAACAAAAAAAGCTTGTATTTTTTTGTGTGTTTACAAGTAGTACATTTTATTTTCTGCTGTCTACTTAAAGTTCGTTGTGTAGAAGGATTTATAATGACCCTCTCTATTCCAAGCATGCAGTGAACTATGAACTGGAAAAACTCAAATAGGCCAAAAATAAAATACACAAAGCTGACACTCAACTTCATGTTTCTATTGGAACAAAGTTGGAAGCAGCTAAGAATGTAGATATTAATTCTCAATAAGTGTTCTACTTAGTGACTTCATTCTAGGTTTTTGAATACTGATGGATAACTGCCTTTTTTTTTTTTTTTTTTTTTTTTTTTTTTTTTTTATTTTTTTTTTTTTTAATTTTTCTGTGAAGTCAAGTGGGTTTTTTTCAGTCTTCAGTAAGGAAAGCAATATTAAGAAGACACTATTGATACCTAATTTTTAGCCTTTTTTAAAAATCTTCCTGTGTTCAGTAACATTTTGGTCAATCCTCTTGTCTGGTCTCTTTCCAAAATGTACACATTGCTTGGAATGTTCACAACCTGCGTGCGTGGAACCAGAAAATATTGCTGTATTCTACATTGCTACCATTTTTTTTTATAAAAATAAATTGGTAACTATTGAAATGTTTAAAACTCCATGTCGGGTTTCTTGGTTTTCTAAGCTTGACAGCTTTGCTAGATTCCAGCAGTTCTAGGAAAATATCTGTGTTCATAAATAGTTCAAATATTCTTTGTGGTAAGCAAAATTGATCTGAAGCCTGAATTTAGGAAAAGGACTGCTGATATAAAAGGTAATTGCATTTCTGTTTCCATAGTGAAGTAGCCTGCAGTTCATCAGAGTGATTAAGGCCCTGTGTGCTCAACTTAATCATATGATCTTCAGGCTGTTGTCCTCAGGCACAGCAGACCTGTCTCAGGAATGTTAGTCCTGCAAGATCCAAAGTCTGCACATATGTTCTTTGTAGTGGTCACTTGTTACTTCTCTCAAATAAGAAATATTTTACCTAAATGCCAATGGTAAAATTGTGAGGGGGAAAAAAAAATTTTTTTTTTGCTTTGATGTTTTCTTCCTGTAGTTTCATATGGTTCGATGGGAGAATGCTGCTATCAAGTATGCAAATACTGAAGTATGATCTCTTTTTCTTTTTTTTGACGGTATGGCAGTGTTGTAGCAGCCTTTTTTTCCCCCCTCCTCTTCCCCCTTGTTACTTCTCTCAAATAAGAAATATTTTACCTAAATGCCAATGGTAAAATTGTGAGGGGGAAAAAAAAAATTGAAACTTGTAGTGAAAGTTCTTCAGTTCTTCAGCAATTTCCAACTTTCCAAAACTTCTAAGAGTAGCACTACCTTGGTGGACTTCTTCATAAACTTCCTTCAGTGTCTTCTTGTGTTACAAGTCCAGACTGCTTTAAACACCTCCAGCTCCACCCTGCTGGGTGCTACAGCTATTTTTATAAAAGGCAGTATAGGACCGGCCACTGTGTGGCATTTGTGGAAATGTGGGGTTTTGATCTGGCAATAATTTGTGCTCTGTTTATTTATCTCTACAGTCACAGTAAACCTTTAGCTGTGTTAAACAGTAAGTTAGACCTCCAATGTACAAGTATGTTTGGATTCTTTAAGCAATACTGGAGACTGAATATGTGTTTGAGTTTCTCAGCACAGTTTATTGTGCACAGAGAGGTAATGCCTGCTAGCTGGAGGATTAGATCAGTCTGTCAGATTTAGAATACATTCTATGTCTAATTGGAGAAATGCATCATAGACCACCCTCATACTTTGATATCTTTCTCTGCATTATATACAGACTCTAAAATGAAGAGGGGGTTTTGGCTTTCTTTGAGTTTTTTTTTGTTTGGGTTGTTTGTTTGTTTTACTTTTTAAATTCAGTACTAGGTAAGCCAAATTACCCTGAGTAGGTAACAGAAATGAAGCACCTCCTTACAGGGACTGTGGAGCACTTTGTCCAGCTTTTCCCATCTATCCTGCTTCCAGTGTCCTTTGTTAGCCCTGTCTGACCAATACCTGTGCAGCATGCTGGGAGGCTTGCTGGCCTTCTGGCATCTGAACTGACAGCAACAGGGTGACAGGGGCTCATAGTGATCCATCTTGGTGGAACTGTGCCCAGGGACCCAGCTGGCTCACTGAACAGTTACAGCAGCCCCTTTCTGATCTGGGGCCTTAGTGTCATGCAGTTCCTCTTTTTATTCACTGTGCATATTCCTGGTTATCATCCCATCATGACAACAGGAACTGCATACCAGAAATTGCCATGAGATGCAGTAGTCTTCTTGTAACCCCTCTACCCTCTATAGTTATGGAACATTTGAGCTTTTGTACATGTTGTAGTATGAAGTTTAAGCAGATGTTGAAACATGACAATGTTTATAAAGAAAAGTTGATGTGGCATAAGGAATTTTATTATGTAAACAAATAATCATGTTCTGTTTGAAAACAATTCCAGAGTATTTTAAAATAACAGTTAAAATTCAAGCAGGTTTTTTTCTTGAGTAAGCTGGCACAGCAGTGAAATAACCTACCTGGAACAGGAGGCCTGGACTTAGCAGCATTTTACAGGCATCTTCAACACCTGAAGAGGTACTACATTTACTACCACTCTTATCTGACCCAAGTGCAGCACTGTTTTCTCTCCACTTTTCAGGCAAGGCAAGTGGCTGTTGCACTGTTCCCACATGGAATGTTACTTCTTTGCAAGTTCCCTCTCTAGAGGTTTTCCTGCATTTATCAATTAGCATGCCTCAGAGGCATTTGGGGGTTAAGATGGCCAAGTTCCTGACAGAGGTGGTTTTCACACCTCTGCAGTGTTACAGATAGAGTAATGCAACAGTAGGAATTCCTGACTGGATGGGAAAGAGAAATGGTTCCCAGGAACGTAATGGTTATGGTGGTCTTAGGATTCTAGTCTCCCCTCAGGCCCCAAGTAGTCACTGCATTTGTCACTTGCACAGCTCCCAGATATTATGATCATGGCACTTCAGATGGGTGCTTTTTAGGAGCCCATGATCTTGGATTCACTCTCCAGTCTGGAGAGAGTCTTTCTGACAGGAGAGGAGGTATTTTGGTTGTGAATCGGTGATCAAGCCTGCATAACACTAGAGGAGAGGACAGAGTTAGGATAAGGAGCCTAGTGGTAGACCCACAGGGCAAGGCTGAATTTATGAAATACACCAAAATATTTAAGATACTTGAAAACATAGAGCAACAATTACTGTGGCAAGGACCATGTGTGATCAGCTAACATGGTCCCAGGGGATAAAGCAACTATAGTTCAATTTTTTTTAGACCAGAAGGAATTTACTGGCTAAGCAAGCAGCTCTGCCCCACAACAGCTTTGCTGTGGTGCGTTCATGGTATGCCCAGCTTAAAGCATATCCCAATAAACTTGTTCACCAAAGAATGTGCATAAATGCCTTGTTGAATCAGCCTAGGAGAAGAAAACTGCTGATGGGAACAAGGTGTCTAGTCTTTCTTCCTCTTTGCAATCCTGCCACATCTTCTACAGCAACATAAGCAACACTTGAAAAGAATGAAGACAATAGTGGCTGTACAGGTGAACAAGAATGCCAGAACATCCAGGGAGTGGTACTGGTACCAGGTGAGATGGTGAGCAGCTGGTCTCAAGTGCTTTGCTCCTTTGTGACGCATGACAAATTCAATCCAGAAGACAGCTCTGTCCAGTGGCTTAACAGGCTGGTCATGCTGTATCTTGGATAACCTTAGAGCATTCTCCTTATAGCTGGGGTTAAATAGAAGAAAAAAAAAAAACCCAAAGAGATTTTTCACTTATTTCTGAAATAAACCATTTAGCACCTGGCAGTCCTCTTGAGGACGGTAGACAGCCTTGCTTTTACTTTCATCAGTCTTATTTAAATATATTTGAAACTGGTCCAGTTTATTCCTGTATGCATAAAATTGAGCTAAGAATAGTAATAAAGCAAATATTTTGCAAAAAAAAAAGTTATTCAAAATTATTCCAGATACTCCTTTAAAAAAAAACCAACATGGAAGTATTTGCAGCATTTCTGTTCCAGTAGAATAGAGTGTACTGATTTAGGCTGGGATAGTTAACGTTCTTCATAGTAGCTGGTATGGGCTGTTCTTTGTATTTGTGCTGGAAGCAGTATTGATACAATAGCCATGTTTTCCTTACTGCTGAGCTTTTACAGAGTCAAGGCCTTTTCTGTCTTTCACACTACCCCACCAGTGAGGAGGCTGGGGCTGCACAAGGAGCTGGGAGGAGGCACAGCAACGAAAGCTGATCCCAACTGACCTAAGGGGATTCCATACTCTGTGGTGTCATGCTCATGTACCAGCTGCCATCCACGTTGTTGCAGATCACCTCCACTGTGGCTGACTCCCTCATGTACTAGATACCTCCATCAGTATGGAGGTCCATTTACTTCAGGAATTTGCAGGTTCTTACTTGAAGGAACACCTGTCCTTCACACTGGATGGGAGTTGCTGCTAAAGATTGAGGACTTCTGCATTTTTCCAATCCCTTTGTCTGTGGTCTTATTCTTAGCAAGGGATCCCAGCTGCTGGGCTTCCTTCTCTTCGAAGTCCTGACTGATAGGTACAGTAACTTAAGAATACTGCTAAGTCAGGGCTAGGAGAAAAAACTGTTATGACTACAGGCAGCTAAGACCTAATAAAACTAGAATTAGGTCCTTCAGAGGATTTACACTAGCAGAGAACTCTGAAAAGCTCATCTGAACTTTCCAACAACTATTGTTCTCAAAGCACTCATAAAATGTGGTATAAGGAAAACCAAATTATTGATCTCTCATTTTTGAGAAGTGCTGATTCTCAGAAAGGAAAATGGTTTTCATCTGAAATCCAAACTTCAGATACTGTGTTTTCCATTCCCAGAAGGGCCAGCAGAATTTCTCACATTAGCAGCCCAGGATTTTAATAACCTCAGCCTACTGTAAGGCAAGAACAAAACTCACGTGGAATTGTAAATGACTGTCTTCAGTGCATCAGCCAGGTCCTGTGACTTCATTGTATTGAAATCCACCTGAACTGCAGCTCCTTTTGCTACCATGTGAGCAAGGTTGTCGTGCTGGTCAGCAAACATGGGAATCCCAACCATTGGGATTCCGTGGTAGATGGCTTCATACAGCCCATTAGTCCCACCGTGTGTAATAAAGGCCTTTGTCAAGGGATGGCCTGGAGCAGAGAAGGAGAAGGGTGTGTTACAGCAGCTGTGGTAGGCTGCATTCACTGGGATGTGAACACAGCATAGAGGGGCCAATGCACTGCTAGAGAAGGGAGCAGCCGACCTTTGGATCAGCAGAGCTTGCATGCGTAGCTTTCACACAGTCGTAATTATTTTAAGAGAACATGTGAATCAGCACGTCCCTCCAGACTACCCCACAGTTACCTCAGCCCTACCGCTATTGTGCAGTTGTAGTTTTCACATGGCATCAGGGTCCGAACAGCCCCCTGCTTCGGCCTTGCTTAGGTCAAGCATTTTGAAGAATGAGTCCTGGAGATGAACTCCAGCAGCCAAATCCAACTCCAGAGTACATCTCTACTTTGGTATTTACTCCTGCCTATGGGTGCTTTTGAGCCCTTCAGACAACTGCCACCAAGCTCTGTAAGTCAGAGCCTTTTAGGAAACAAAGGCTCCCAAGAGCAAAGCTCTGTGGCTTAAACTGTGAAACTAAGTGTGTCCGCAAGCGTTACATGGTTTTGGCTAGAATTAACCGTTCTTGTGGAAAGAGAAAAGGAAACAGTTTTTCCAAGTGTGCAATCCATCCCAAATAGAAACAGTCTTACCAAGCAGGTCATTTTGTGGTATCCAGTCAAAAATCCTGGTGTTGGAGCCCAGAGTTTCTGGTTTTTTCCCTTTGTACCGCCAGAGGACCTTGAACAAAGGAAGAATAAGATAAACATGCTGCATGTGATATGCCTTTCTGTATTATTACATGTAATTTAGAGCTTTATCTCAAACCCCTGTACCTTTTTCCAGAATTTAGATAGCTTTGGCTGCAGTTGAACTCTTTGATTGGTTATTATGTGCTAATTATAAAAAATGCATGGAGTGATTTTTGTATTTTGGCCTGTAGACACACCTCCATGTCATTTGGTTCAGAGGAGGTGAAACACCAGAACTGTCCATGAAGTAACTTAGCAGTCTTGTCTCTCTGAGAGAGCCCTGGCTGTATCACATCCAGCAGGGATGCAGGTAAAGAACAGGCCACTCCCAGTATGAAAGGGAGTGAAAAAAACAAGGCAACTTGTTTGGGGCTTGAAAAGAAATTCACCTTTTGTGGAAGCTGGCTGAGGGCTTTGGCAATCACATTACTTTTTTCATCACTTAGGCTGTGGACCATTGACCCAAGACTGAATACGATGACACCGTGTTCCCCTGAGCTCTGAACAAATTCTTCCATTTCCTAGGAGAGGCAGAAAACATACCAGGGGCAATTACACAATGCAGATTACACAGATTTCTGTGAATAGAGAGCATAACCTTTTCATCTTATTAAGGAAATGATGGTGATATGAGCCCCTCCTGACAGAAGGGCTTGACAAAGACAGACCTGGCCCTGTGGAAAACAGTTTCTCCCAAATGAGGAGCAGGACAAGTTGAGACAGGTGACAGATGCTTTGTCTTTTTGAAAGCAAGTTTCAGGATACATTTCAAGCAGCAGGAATGAATCCTGGCATTATCATGAGCAGGCAATACATACTCTGTGACACTCTCCTTAGCATGGTCATGGTTCTGGATTTTCCTGGAACAAGTACTTTGTATTACATAGCTCTGCTGAAACCTGAGAGGGTGTTTCAGCATCCTGATCACAGATTGACCAAGTTGATGCTGTCACTTTGCTAGTCAAACAGTTCTCATTTCCTACAATGCACCACATTGCTCAAAACATTTTTTACAAATCAGACCTATAGGTTTTCCTGTTCCTTTTATTAGTATCATGTGAACTGGAGCAGTAACATGCAAAAGAGAGTGGTTATCCATTTTCCCCAAGCTCAACCCATGCTATGGGGGACTGGGAAGAGAGTTAGAAGGTTTCTTTTAATAGACAACATGCACTGAAGATGGCCTATATCTTCCAAGGCTCCTACAGGAATGATAATCTACACCAGAGCTTGTCATGTTGTTATCTTCAGTATTTGGGAGTTTCAAATTCCACCTGAATACTGTAATTCACAGCAGAGCATAGGCTGGAGATGCTCAGTGCTTTACTCCCTTTAAGATTTCTTAAACTAAGGTACAATAGAAAAGTGCTTATCACTCATCTATTTCTGCAAGTTTTAACCCTGTTTTATGTAACGAATTTGTCTTGTCACTTGATGCCTTCTGGCATCAAGTATTTCAATGTTATTATGGGCTGCAAGTCTGTGTCTTAGGATTAAATACTACATTTAAGTTCCCTGAGGTAGCACCTATTTTTTCCTAAAACAGATACTGTATTACTCTGTGCTGACATCAGCTATCCTCTTTTAAAACAGCAGGCTGTAAACCAGCCCTCCATTTGGACAAGTATGGATGGATGGTATATAAGAATGAGTTTTCCCAGGACAGGGCTTGCGTGGTTGTCTGGGAGAGAAACAGTCATTGTAACAAACCTGCCAACAGAAAAACTAGGCTGGGATACCTTTGGTAATGGTTTTGCAGGCTGGCAATGAAGTCCTCCAACAAACTCAAAGTTGGGCAGGAAAGGGCGTGGAAATTCGAAATCCCAGTATGTTCTGATTAACCAAATCTCTGCTTTCCCCATCGTCTCACACAGGGTTGTGGGCCTTCCTGTGGGCAAGGTACAAGAGGTTGACAACATGCACAGGAGTGACATTGTTTGCTCTGGATTGTGAAACAGGAGCCTTACCTTTGTCTTTTGGCACTCCCAATCAGCGTAGTTTATCAAACCATGCATAAAATGAAAACATCAACAAATCTGGATCTATTCTTTGCCCTGTCCTGTGCTCAGCTTTAGCAGGTGGCCATGAGCACAAGGTACAATCCTTAAAAGGATTTTGAACCTTCATGATTACTTTAGAGAAATACAAGCGAGAAGCATTTAGTATCTGATATAGAAGAGTAATTCTTGTAGTGCTGAATTATTACCTGAGCTTGTTGTAAAAACACAGAGAACACTTGAGAAAGAGAACAATCACAGAAAATTAAGTTCCAAATAAAATATTAATCACAAAGCAATGATCACCTATCGGGGAGGAGGAAAGTTTTTTAACAAAGTTCATTAGCATTTTTCAAATGGTGACTCATTTAGCAGCTGCACAGATAACAATAAAACACAGGTACAGACATCTCTAGTATTCTTGAGGACTGGGTCAGCTGCTTCTGACACACAGTGGGAAAAATTGGCCAACTCCATAGATACTTTTAGTGTCATTTTATGTAAAATCCAATATTTCTAGAAATCCATCTGAAAAAAAAATCTAATGATGATCTGATGTTTTATAGTTTACCATTTGGAAAAATATATATTCTTAGGTACATGATGCAAGTTTTCTTTGCAGTATTTTCTCCACAAAGTGAAACTGGGGAGTAAAAGGGTTAGAAGTATTGATAAATAGTTTTGCAAAGCCAGCCTAATGCAAGCAGGAATCAACCTAAATAAGGAGCAAGATAAAAATTATCCATAGGACATCTTCTTACACTACTTGATCAGTATAATAATCTACACCAGTAATTTTTTATTTATATTTAAATTAAAGAGCAGTGAGTCAGTTTTAAGGTTGCTGGAATGCAAATCAAGTTTTCATTACAAGTGGAGTGATATAAAGATGTAATTACATCTTTATGTGGTATTAAAAAATTAAATCTAGGGAAGAGGGACTAGTTTTCAGAGCACAGAGGCATTCTTTGCAAATGCAGGAAAAGATTGGACAGCAAAAGAAGAGATGCCCTTGTGTTTGCTGTTTACTCGTTATCTGCCTAAACTTAGATACCCTGGACAAGATTCAAAGTCCATTGAACTGAAAGGAACTCTGTTAAATGTTGAATCATGCCTGAGTTGTACTATGTTGGAGCAAAATTTTCAGATGTGTATGTAGTTTAAGGAGACTATTACAAACTCTGAATGGTGGATGAAAGGGAAAGGTGACAGCATTTATTGTTGAGAATCTGAACTCACACTCAGCATCCTGCACTATGCAGAGTTGCAAGATACTTCAGGACTGCAACCTCTGATGGCCTTTGAGAAAGAGTATTTTGAGACAACAGCATGGTAGTCCCAAAGCATTCAAAAGTCACAACCTATGCAAGAAAAGAAACCACTCAACATCTGCCTTACCTAAGACATTACTGTAGTACCCATCCCATTCATCTCGCCAAAACTTCATGAAAAATAAATCCGTGAAAATGTAAAAGAGGAAGTTCTGTAGTCTTTCCGTAAAGGACATCTGGTGTGTCAGCCCCATTGTGCTGGCAGGCACATAGGAAGGTGGGGACGGGAGCCCACCGCACAGCCGCTCTACCACATTCCCGTCAGAGAAGCGGAAGCTGTAGACAAAAGGGATCTCTAGGATTTCTGCTGCAAGCTCCCCACCTATAGACAGGGGGTCAGCAATCAGAACATCAAACTTGGCCTGCTGCAGCTTTGCTATCAGGTGAGAGTTCTTCACCAAGGTGTCACAGGTCTGCTTTGACATATTGGTAAAGACGTCCAGTTGCTCTTTCATTGTCCACATGATCTCCCAGGGGAAGAGATTAGAGGCTTCATTCATCCAGAAATTGAGGAAGTCGTCCACGGAGGCATCCAGGGTCTCCTGGCTAAAGGGGACTTGCAGCACCTCAAAAGTGAAAGGGGAGGAGGTGTCCTGGTAGTTGATGAGCAGATTGCTTGAGGGTACCAGCACAGTCACTTCATGACCCCGGAGAACGAGCTCTTGCAGAAGCACTTTCACATTGATCCAGTGACTGGCATCGGTGGGCCAGACCACCACCCTCCCACAAAAAACAGTGCTGCAGCAGCATGTATAGGCCCAGAGCAGCCAGGAGAACTTTAACCCCAACATCTCGGCATTCCACGTCCAGCTCTGGTCTGACTGAACTGGAAGCAGTTCACAGTGCCACTGTGCAAATGTTAAAAGTGGCATTTGTTTGGTGGCTAGACTGGCAAACGTGACAAGATTGGCAAACGTGACAAGATTGGCAAACGTGGCAAGAGGGAATGTCGTAACACAAAAGAGCACTCATGGGAGGGCTGGGCAAGCAGCAAATCCCGTTCTGGAATGTCCTGCAGAGCCACAGCTGATCTCAAAATTTCAGCAGCTCCTATCTGCTCACCACAAAGTGTATTTTGCAGCATGTGAAGACTAGAAGCCTTTTCCCTGTGCTGTGGTTTAATCTTAATAGGCAGCTAGGCACCACAGAGCCTCTGAATCTCCCACAGTAGGAGGAGAAAAGGAAGGGCAAAAATTAAAAAACTCGTGGATTGAGACTAAGACAACTTAAAAAAAAAAAAAGGAGGGGGGGGGGGAAATAGCAAGAAAAGCAAGTGATGCAAAAAGAACAGTTGCTCACTACCAGCCAATGCCCAGTGAGTCCCTGAGAAACAGCAGCGTGACAAACCTCTCCCCCATATCTTTTATTTTGCTGAGCACAATATCCTTATGGGCTGGGGTATCCCTTGGGTGAGTTGGGGTCAGCTGTCCCAGCTGTGTTCACTCCCAACTTCTTGTACATCTCCAGCCCCCTCGCTGGTGGGGTGGGCTAAGAGGCAGAAAAGGCCTTGACACTCTGTAAGCACTGCTCAGCCTGTGGTATCGATACTCTTTTCAGCACAAATCCATCATGCAGCTCATGCTAGCTAACAAAACAGGTATTTCACATGGAGCCTTAAATGCTAAACCCTGGAGCTCACAATAAAAAAAGAAAAACACCATAAGATTCAAACAGCTCTGGGGCTTACACAACAGACATCAAACCTTGCTTCAACCAGTGCAAGACTTTCTAATCTCTGTCATCATAATATGATAAGCAACACAAAGGCACAGCTAGGTATTCTAAGAGTAGGATACCTTGACAACTTAGCTCTCTCAGCAGAATTACCCTTACTAGTGAAATATAAATAAAAACACTTTAAAGTCTCATATTGAAATACCCATTTTATCTCTACCCTAGCAATGCATATGTCTGGCCTATTTCCTTTGAAGCATCACCTAAGCAAAAATGGAAAAACAATTATACAACTATTTTTTTTTTTTTAATTAAAAACCACTTACAAATAAATATAACTGTAATCGTTTTTCAGACACTTTCAGAAAAGCAAAGAACCATGTCTCTGCAGAGGGCCTTTTATCACTGTGAATTGGGGCTCATCTAATCTCCCAGATTTTTAAAGGTCCAGAGAAGGATATTATCTCTAATTTTGAGACAAGGTAGCAAATAAGAAGTGTGCTATAGGAGAAAAAGTACTAGTGTTTGTTGGATATATAGTATTTTACTGTTCTTAGTGTTGGTCATGATTCATCTGTGAATATGACTAATGAGCCCTGTTTCAAGTGCTTTAGCAATGTTATTTACATATCTTGGAAGTACTTGTACAGACTTAGCTCTACCACTGTAGCATATCAGGATTAACAGGCAATGTTTGTACTTGCCTGCATTGATTGACTTGATGCAGGAATTTTAAAGGAAGGAGAGTGAATTTGGGGCTGTCTTGCTCTTGATTTGTGCCTTAACCTCTCATCTCTGGGTATTTACTCTTGTGTGCACAGCAGATGTAATTTCTGGAAAGAGAGCAGTCTTACCTAAAACTTCACTGTAGTATTGATCCCAGTTTGCCCAGAGAATGTAATGAAATACAAAATCTTGCAGAGTGTAGCCGAGGTTGTTTTTTAGTCTTTGCCAGAAGGTCATCTTATCAGTTAGGCTGGTTAGGGTGGTTGGTACGTAGGACGGAGGTGATGGGAGTGTTCCACAGAGCCGCTCCACCGTGTTGCCCATGGAGAACCGGAACGTATACACAAAGGGGATACCCAGCTTCTCAGCAACCAGCTCCCCACTGGGAAATAGTGGGTCTGCCAAAAGGAGGTCGAAGGCAGATGCCCTCAGTCTTTCCATCAGGGCCTCATTCTTCACAACTCCATCACAAATGGTTTTGGTTATGTTCTTCATCTGCGATAGCATTTGAACCATCTTGTAACTACTTTTCCAGATAGGTAGCTCTCTCTCCTCATAAAAAAAAAAATAAAACAGTTTATCCATTAAGTCAGTCATCTCCTTTTTGGTGATTGGCACCTCAATCACCTCAAACTGGAAGGGTGAGGGCTTGGTGGGATTGATGATGAGGAAGCACGGAGGCAGCAGCACGGTCACCTCGTGGCCCCGGGCCACCAGCTCCTGTAGTATGTGCTCCATGTTCAGCCAGTGGCTGTTGTCAGCTGGCCAGACCAAAACCTTCCCCCCGGACCCCCAGCCCAACACAGCCAGCAGCACCAGCGCTGCCACCTCCTTCCCTGCCATAGCCTGCCCTGTGTGGCAATGCCTCTGTGGCCTTCCTTCACCGGGAGCAGTGGCACTCCTGAGGTGGGCTGGGCATGCATGACACTGCCTTGATCCCAAGGGCAGGGAGCCAAAGGTAGGCGGCGTGAAATCCTGTACTGGATAATAGCATGTTTAATGTCATGTTTTCCTAGGGCACAAAAAAGGTGACTGGCATCAGCTGGCACCCTCTGTTAGTAAACAGCTTGCTGAAGCTGGAAGATGTGATTCCTCTGGAGCAGCAGAGAGTCTTCAGCCCTGGGGGGCTCTCCAGCAAGGTTTGTATCCTGTTGGTAATCCCATCTCTCCTGCCCATCTAACTACAGGTTCTGTGTTACTTGTTTGGTAGAAGAGGTGACTTTTTCATTCTTCTGGCTCTTTGAAACACAGCTGGGTGGGCAGCAGAGATGTTCACTGACTATGTGGGCAATTTTTGCTTTTATAAAGCCACTAAGCATTCCTTTAGAGCACACTTAAAGGGTTGATCTGGGGCTGCAGCCCAAGAGTTGCATCTCAAATGCATGAAACTACACAGCAAATTACTCCAATATCAGAGTAAGACTGTCCTCATGTGAAGTTGACTCTTACAGAGCACCGTGGGAGACCAGGAGGGGATAGTGCAGGCTTCCTGCCTGCCACGAAGAGCCAATTATGCACTATAAATTGAACAAGAAAATCCATCAAACAGTTTAATTTATATGGTCCCTCCTGATGTGCAGTTAAGAAATACTGTATGTTCTCTTTTATGTACAAAAAATCATTATTACAGGGTTTCTGCCCAGTGCTGTTACACAATGGTTTCCTAATGTTGTTATCCAAGGCTTTTGGTATAGTTTCCATGCTGTCTAGACACCCCTTCTGGGACAAAAATGTGGGTCATGGAAACAGCTGGACTGTGAGGAGCCAAACTGATACCTCATGTACTGTACACATGACACCAGCTTGGTGTACTTGTGGAGTCTTGCATCACGCAGGTATTTGCAGGCAATTGAACCCTGAGAGATTTGCAAGAGGTCTTTTTGAAGAGCTCAGTGGGAAGGTAGTAGAAATGACATGTGATTAATAATACACATGTTTTTCTACCTGATCACTCAAAACAGTCCAGAAGAAAAGCCTGCAGAGAAAGGTTTGTTGTTTTCTGTTTTCTGTTTGCTTTGTGGGTAGGGGGGGTATGATCTAAATAAAACTTATTTTGTTCAGAGAGAATTGGTTCTATATGACCAGTGACATAAGTGAAGTCTCTATTACAAGGCCACAATGCACTTAAATATTGCTACTGAGGATGACAGGGCTGGCTTGTAATTCACCAGCTCTCCCCTCCTTGTTATGGTCCTCTGGATGCAGAAGATGGCTCTGATCTTGGCTGCTTTCTTTGCTAGCAGTCACCCTTCCTGAGTGCCCTGTATGGTGTGGAAGTCATATCGAACTCCGTACTACAATTATGACAAAAGTCAAATCCATCAATTGGAATGACCCTGATCCTGTCTCTATGCAATGGCATAGCAGCACAGCACCCTGACTGCTTGTGGTTCCAGTCTTTTTAGGGACACAGTGACAAACTCTTGCTGACCCTTCTCTTGACTTTGTTACCCTGGTGGGTTCCTAGCTCTGGAGATCGCAAGGACAGACTGTATAACGAGAAGTGAAGTACCAGAAGGCTTACCTAAGACCTTGCTGTAGTAGGAATCCCAGTGTCCCCAGTAGCTCTGGAAAACATAGTCTTGCAGGTGGTAAGACACAAAGTTTTTTACTCTCTCCCCAAAAGACATGCGGTCAGTGAGCTCAGACAGGGCTGCAGGCGTGTAGGATGGTGGGGCAGGGATCTTGCCACAGTGTCTTTCCAGAGTGAAGGCTGGGGAGAAACGTAGCGAGTAGACAAAGGGAATGCCCAGCTTGAGAGCCACGAGTTCCCCACAGGGGGTCACTGCGTCTGACAGCAGCAGGTCAAAGCCAGAGCCCTGCAGACGAGCCATCAGCTCCTGGTTGGTCAGCACTGCGTCGCACATCATCTTGTTCATCTTCTGCCAGTTTACGGACAGTCTTCCCAGCTCCTTGTAAAACTGCCAGAAGGTCAAGATGGTTGGCCTGTTGTTGAGCCATAGATCCACTATTTCATTAAGCAGGGTCTCAGGTAAATCTTTCTCATAGGGCACATTATATATCTCAAACTTCTCCGTAGTCTTAGGCTTGGGTTCAATGAAGAGGGTCACGTTGGGTACCAGGATGGTAAAACTGTGCCCACGGCGGATGAGCTCCTGTACCATTACATTCATGTTCAGCCAGTGGCTGCCTTCTGTTGGCCAAACCAGTATCTTCCCACAGAAGACAGGCCCTAGAGCAACCTGAAAAAGGAGCAGCTGGAGGTATTTCTTTGAGCCGGTTGCTTTCATGGCCATAGCAGAGTGAAGGGCTAGATAGTCTGGGAATTTTCCCTTCCAGCTGGGAGTTCTGCACCTCTGTGTTGTGTTTGATGGCTCCTTACTAGCACTCTTAGCAGAAGTGAGACTTTGCTGTTGCACAGGTAGTGCCTTTATAACCTGTGTTTCATCTGAGCTCTGGGAAAAAAAAAAAAAAAGTTTAGTGATTCATTTTTCACTTTCTGCCTTCTACCCTGTTAGCTTCTCACTGAGGGAGTTCAATTCTCCTGTTAGGAGGATGACAGCAATCCTCCCTGCTTTCAAAGGAGCCAGTCCCCTGGATGCCAGCCCTGAGACTCAAACAAATCCCTTACATTTTTGACATGAACTAGCAATGCCAGAGGAAGACCAAGGAATAAGAGGCCACAGGGCTGACTTGAAAGTGTCATCTTTTTTCACAGTGTGATGCTAAAAGTGCTGATATTTCTTATGCTGAGAGAAGTCAACAAATCCTTCCTTTGGTTGATGATAATGCCAATAATAACATGCAATTTGTTATAATAGGTCACTGGTAGCTTCCAACTGTTCCCAGACAACAATGGACAGTGAGTCCATTGCTACTACCTGTGACACATCACCACCAACCTGGTCATGTTGTGGGCTCAGTTCGGGTGGTCTGGGCCTCTTCTGGGCTCTAAAGGTGCTAAAGAGCAAAACCTACGTCATCTGGGATGGCTCTCACTTGGAAAGTTGTCCCTTGAATATAAACACCATGCCTGGAAGCAGTTCTTTAACCACCTGGAACCAAAATTACAACTAAAACCCACACATACAACGATAAACTCAATCCAACACAATTTGGGGAACAAATGCCATGCAGCAAAAAACTCTTACCTAGCAGAGTCTTCCGAGGTACATAAACATTGTGCTCTGAGTTGCAAAGTGCAATATGCTACACCTGTTTGCTGCTTTTCCTTGCTGCTCCCCTCCTCTGTGCCTCTGGGCTGCTCCAGCAGGATTGGTTATCAGGCAGAAGGAGCTTAAGTAAGTTAGCCTCTGAACTGGACTTTTCAAAAGGAGGAAGCAATAAAATACGGGATGATGGCAACAAGGCATGTATTCTGTACTTATTCATTGCTTTGTTATGCTCTGGGAATTTAATGGTTGAGATGGTATTTCCCTTGCCAGGATATACTATAATGTTATTACAGAGCCAGGTTCTTAGGAAGACTTTGTATGCTAGAGATAAGAAATATGGTGTCTGGCTGCTAAAAATACTTTTTCACTCCCTTTAGGGTCCTAGGTGGCAAAACAAAATTGTTTGTTACATAGTAGATACGTTTATAAACTGTCAACAGGAACAAAGAGTGAATCTTGTGGTTTGCTTGCAGAGGTTTTCTAAAGTTGGTGCTGTCTGTGCGGGTTTCCAAAAGTTGGTATGTTACCTGTGTTGGCTCTGTGGCCCTTGATTCTGGAGATCTAGGCAAGTGTTTAATAACCTGAAAATATAGGAATCTAAAGGTGCATTTCAATGATTTTTAAGTATTGTCCATAATATTCAACAGGGTTTTTTCTCAACGCTCAGAATCCAGGACTATTATGCCAGCATGTTTCAACCACATTTTGTCCTTACAGCCAGAAATTTCACTACAGTCTCTCCACATCTTTGTATCCAGAGTAAGAATTTTTTTTTTCAGTCTAATTTAGCTTATTTTATGAAGTCCCATAAGAAACTTCTAGATTTCCCAGCAACTATTGAAAGGCCATGTTCATATGGGCTAGAGCAGATCACAGAACCATAGAATATGTTGAGCTGGAAGGGACCCACAAGGATCATTGAAGTCCAACTCCTGCCCCTGCAGAGGACAGCCCCAAGAATAACACTATGCCTGAGAGCATTGTCCAAATTCTTCTTGAACTCCCTCAGGCTTGGTGCTGTGACCACTTCCCTGGATAAAAACTTAGATGGGAACTTGTTTTTTTGTTTCCAACCCCTTAGTATCACAGCAAATTAGAGCAATTGCCAGGGGAACCAAAGAGTTAAAATTGTTTTGTTTCCATGGCCAGCTCTAAAGATGATACTCAGATTACTCAGATCAGAGAAGACAAGCATTTTGAGAGGATTAAAGTACAAAATCCAGCGCTTGAGAGAGAAATGAGGCAGAAGAAACTAGATGGTGTTAAGTGCCTGTATTTCACACATTTGACATTACTAAGAGAAGTGCTATAGGCAGTGATGCAACCTCCAGCCTTGTTAAAAAACAACAGGCTTTTCAAGGCTAAGGCCCTCATGCAAAAGTTAGGCAATGCATACTGATGTTTTCCACACGCGGGTCTCTTCACCCCTGTGCTGGCTGGCTGGGGGTTGCAGTGTGCATGGCACTTTGATTTCTAGGAAACCTCCATGCCAGCCAGCACCTCAGAAATTCAGGGCCAGAGTGGAAAAGGGAAGCTTTTGCCCTGAAGAAGCACCAAATGACTCTGTGCTTTCCCTTTCACTTAATGCAATGAAGCAGCTTCTGGTCTGAAAGCAGACTTTCAAAAGTCTTCACTAGGTTGTGTTGGGTTTTGTTTGTTTTTTTGGGTTTTTTTGGGGGGGAGGGGGGGGTGTTGGCAAGGGGAAGGGACTATACTGGATTGGGAAAATTTCAAAGTTGGCTCATCCCTACAGGCAGAGGTGACAGGATTGAGCAATTCTGCATAGTCACATATGCGTGCGCTCAGTAAAAGCACATGTGCTTTGTAATCCCCAGGGTATGGGTAAACTCCAGCAAAAGTTAACAGCCTCAGCATGACCATCTTTCTTGAATAAATTGTATTTTTTCTACTCTGCACTGCTACTGCAGGATGAAAAAAACAGGGTAGGTTTATAGCATTGCACTTGGATTTTTTGATTCAGTTTAAGATTCTATGAGCTCTTCACTGCTGCTGTAATGCTGCAGGGGCGCCTTGGCAGGTAAACAGCAGAAACCAGGGTGGCTGGCACGGGAGCCATTTCCACTCTGCAAAGCCAAAACATTAAAGAAATGAGAGAAGGTTAAGGCCAAGCTTGGTGTCCCTGCTAGGAGTCTGCATCGTTGTGGAAGAATAAGTGCTGCACCCTCTCCTTGTCAGTGAGGAGCAGCAGCGGACTTGCCCTAGCTCCCTGCAGATGTGGCACACTCCTGTCTTGACAGCATCTGTCCAAACTCCCAGGGAAAGCTGCACGCTATGGTGACGGGCAAATCTGCAAATCCCATGGGTATGGACATGATGAGACTCATCTAGACCAACCCAAAAAGGAGGAGTTGCTCTCTCCATTCCACCTTTTCATGAATATTTGCTGCTCGTGCTGTCATGGCAAGCCTTTCCACGTGACTTTCCCAGTCATCCTGCCGATCGTTTGTTTTAGTGGGAGAGTTTGCTGCTGGAGCAGGAAGGAGCTAGGCAAAGACCAGGCAGGCTGCAATGGCCGGGGTCACCAGGCACCGTTCCTGCCCAGGGAGCAGCAGTGATAGCACCAGAGGGCACCGCGGCCATCGCTGCACCCACTGCTGGGAACAGGGGTCCCAACTGCGGGGACAGGAGCACATCCAGAGCCCCAGCAAGGACAGGGGTGCCAACAGCATGCCAGCATCACCCAGAGCAAGCACTTCTTCCCTTGTCTCAGTACCCCTGAGGAGCAGGGAACTGGAGCTGAACACTGCCCTCACCTCCCTCTCACCAACCCTGGGTATATTGCAGGAGACCCCAGAGCAGGGGAAGGTTTAGGGGTTCTGACTGCACTCCAAAGTACCCCAAACCCACCACCCAGGACCCCCACATGTGCAGCTCTGCACAGTTGAGCATGGGCAGAGCACCCAGGCACACCCGTCTCACCTAATACCTGCTGCTCTGCGCCGGGAGAGTGACGCTGGGATGGTGACACCAGCAGGGTGACAACGGGAGGGTGACAGCAGCAGTTTTTAAGGGCAGAGAGGCAGGGCGCTGAGGGCAGTAATGTTTACCAATGCTGTAGCTGCAGGGAGGGAGGAGCGAGTGCAGGGAGAAACCAGCAGCCACTGACCTGCAGGCAAAGCCACAGAGGACATCTCCAGCCCCACGAGTACTGCTCTTCCCCACAGATCCCAGGCCACATCCCACTGTATGAGAGGGGGGAGGAACCCAACGTGTTCCCACATGCAGTTTTGTCAAAACCTTCTGCAATTCCATGAGCTGCTAATGGCAATTCTCCCACCACAGCAGCTGAGGGGAGCACCACACCTGCCTGTCCCCAACCTAAGAAGTGGACAGCAGCCCCAGGGGCACTGCTGGGTTGGGAGCAGCAGAGGCGCAGGACAGTGAGCACCCCATGGCAGGGTCAAGAAGCACATTTTATTTCTCTCCAGCAGTTCCAGGGGAGAGGAAGCAACGGCAGCAGTGCCACCACAGCACAGGATGAATTTGGGGTACGTCCGGTGGTGTCCCCTCAAATCTGAGTGCGGAAGCACAGGTCGGTGCCTGACATCTTCTGCGCATAGTCCTGGTCAAAGCGCTCGTTCTGCGCCACGGTGAAGTGGTTCTTCCAGTCTCCAGTGGTGCCTGTGGCCAGGCGAGATGGGGCTCAGCAGGGGCCGGGGCAGACAGTGCTCCAGAAGCCCCCGCAGCCACTCACCTTTGCGCATGAAGGGCGACACGCTGTGGTCCATGATGTCAGACGGCACCCTGGTGTAGTTGGTGGCAGGGTTGTCCCGCATGGCCTCGAAGGACGTGTGTCGGGTGATGGTGTCCAGCGCCGCATCCGACAGCTTCTGCCCCAGGAACTGGGCCACCTTGGCAACCTCCCGGCGGAGGTCCTGTGCGACACAGGCCAACACTCACCCCTCCTGCCACCCCCAGAGCCCACACCACCATCCCCCCTGCCCCATCACCTCCTTCAAGTCCTCGTAGAAGAGGTAGAGAATGGGGTGATCCTTCCTGCGCTCCCAGTAGCCCTTGACGTGGTCGTACCAGGAACCATAGGCCACTGCATGGGGAGAGCAGTCAGGAGGTGACAGTCCCCTGCAGGGTCCCCTGCATGCACTCAGGGCTGCCCTGCCCCACCTCTGCCAGCCATGAACTCCTCCAGGTATTGGGCCCATGTCCCAGGGTGCGGCAGCAACTTGTTCATCAAATCAAAGTGGTAGTAGGAGACAGCCACGTCCTTGGCGTTGCGTCCCACATAGATCATCTGCAGATGGCCATGGGCATATGAGGGGCAGCCCCAGGACCCCCAACAGGGAGGACGCTCCAGCTCCTAGCACTCCCATGAACACTTAAGGTGCTGGAGGGAGCAGTGGAGATTCCTGTCTCATGGGAACAGGGCTGCTGCAATTCCCTCCAGGGTAGGGACAACTGTTGGGTGTTACCTTGCAGTGGTTTTCCCAGAAGGATTTGGGCAGGATATGTGCTGGCAGGTGAGTCTTCACCACGCGGGGTGAGGCCATGGTGGCCAGTATGTCTGTTCCTGAGGGACCCCAGAGCACTTCCTCAGTGGGCCCTTGGCAAAGACCCTTGGGACTCAGCCCCTGTGGGGTCCCCCTGCACCTCACTACCTGCTGCCATCTTCCCAGGGGCAGAGAACTCCAGCATGGGCACTCTCTTGCTGATAATGTCCCGCTTGCACTTCTCAGGATCTCCGCCTTGCAGGATCATATCCACAATCTCGCTGACCCAGGTGGTGCCTGGGGAAAGGAACCCATAAAGGGGAGCAGCCAGGGCAGCATCGGGTTTCTCAGCAGTAATAATCCCTCAGACCTCAACCAGATGCCATCGGGGAAAAGGGAAATCCTACACAACTCTGTCCAGACAGCCCCTAAATGTGCTGCATACACCCAGGCAGGGGGTATGAACAATACACTTGCCCAGCCAGTACCAGCACATCTGGTTGCCTTGGGGATGCTCACCAGATTTGGGGTAGGTGATCACCATGATGTCCTCAGGGCGGCTCTGGAAACTGTCAACCCGTTCCCAGTTGTGGGCAAAGGCATTGACCATGGGGATGCCGTGCACTGTGAGCCAGGGCTGACGCAGGTAGGTGTCTGAATCGGCCATCCTGCTGGGGACAGGGACGTGGCAGGGCTGGCTGAGGAGGGGAGGCCCCCCACACCCTCTCAGGGCAGCCACCAGCCAGGGCAGCCTGGTCACCTGGCACTGTGCCTGCTCAGGGAACGGCAGCGATAGCATCAGAGCACAGACCAGAGGTCACTGCGGCCATCACTGCACCCACTGCTGGGAAAAGTCTCCCAACTGCAGGGACAGGAGCACACCCAGAGCCCCAGCAAGGACAGGGGTGCCAACAGCATGCCAGCATCACCCAGACCTAGGGGACTAAACCAGAACATCACCTCTTCCCTTGCCTCAGCACCCCTGGAGAGCAGGGAACTGGGTCCCTGGGGATACTACAGGAGACCACAGGTCAGGGGAAGGTGTGGGGCTGCTGATTGCACACAAACCCAAAATGCCCCAAACCCACCACCCTGGACCCTGCAGCATGTAGCTCTGTGTGACTGAGCATGGGCAGAGCACCGACAGGGCACCCCAGGACACCCGTCTCACCTAAAGACCTGCTGCTCTGCGCCGGGAGAGTGATGCCGGGACGGTGACTCCAGGAGGGTGACAGCAGAGGACAGGGAGATCGGGGCCTCCCTCGCAGCGGTAATTGCAGGAAGGAGAAGGAAAGAGGCAGGGCGCTGAGGGCAGTAATGTTTGCCAACCCAGCAGATGTGGGGAGGGAGGAGCGAGTGCAGGGAGAAACCGGCAGCCACTGACCTGCAGACAGGGTCACAGAGGACACCTCAGCCCCACAGGTCCCAGGCCACATCCCACTGTGTGAGAGGGGGGAGGACACCTCTCACTGCCCACACCCACCCAACATGCTCCCCATACACAGATTTGCCAAAACCTTCTGCAATCCCACGAGCTGCTAATGGCAATTCTCCCACCACAGCAGCTGAGAGTGTCCCTAGCCTAAGAAGTGGACAGCAGCCCCCAGGGCACAGCTGAGTTGGGAGCAGCAGAGGCGCAGGACAGTGAGCACCCCATGGCAGGGTCAAGAAGCACATTTTATTTCTCTCCAGCAGTTCCAGGGGAGAGGAAGCAACGGCAGCAGTGCCACCACAGCACAGGATGAATTTGGGGTACGTCCGGTGGTGTCCCCTCAAATCTGAGTGCGGAAGCACAGGTCGGTGCCTGACATCTTCTGCGCATAGTCCTGGTCAAAGCGCTCGTTCTGCGCCACGGTGAAGTGGTTCTTCCAGTCTCCAGTGGTGCCTGTGGCCAGGCGAGATGGGGCTCAGCAGGGGCCGGGGCAGACAGTGCTCCAGAAGCCCCCGCAGCCACTCACCTTTGCGCATGAAGGGCGACACGCTGTGGTCCATGATGTCAGACGGCACCCTGGTGTAGTTGGTGGCAGGGTTGTCCCGCATGGCCTCGAAGGACGTGTGTCGGGTGATGGTGTCCAGCGCCGCATCCGACAGCTTCTGCCCCAGGAACTGGGCCACCTTGGCAACCTCCCGGCGGAGGTCCTGTGCGACACAGGCCAACACTCACCCCTCCTGCCACCCCCAGAGCCCACACCACCATCCCCCCTGCCCCATCACCTCCTTCAAGTCCTCGTAGAAGAGGTAGAGAATGGGGTGATCCTTCCTGCGCTCCCAGTAGCCCTTGACGTGGTCGTACCAGGAACCATAGGCCACTGCATGGGGAGAGCAGTCAGGAGGTGACAGTCCCCTGCAGGGTCCCCTGCATGCACTCAGGGCTGCCCTGCCCCACCTCTGCCAGCCATGAACTCCTCCAGGTATTGGGCCCATGTCCCGGGGTGTGGGTGGAACTTGTTCATCAAATCAAAGTGGTAGTAGGAGACAGCCACGTCCTTGGCGTTGCGTCCCACATAGATCATCTGCAGAAAGTTTGGTGGCATGTGGGGACTTGCAAGGTCCCAAGGGGGCATGGAGCCCCTTATGTCTGCTGGATTCCTCCAAGTATGTTCTTTCCAGCCTGTTACCTTGCAGCGGTTTTCCCAGAAGGATTTGGGCAAGATGTGAGCTGGAATGTGGGTCTTGATGATGCGAGGGGATGGCATGGCCTCCAACTGCTCTGTGCCTGTAAAGATTTCCCCCTGAAGTGATCCCACTGTGGTGCCCTCCCATACAAAACCAAACCTCTCCCCATCCAGCACCCACTGCCACCCAGCACCCTCTGCCACCCCACTACCTGCTGGTAACTTCCCAGGAGCAGCAAACTCCATCATGGGCACCCGGTTCACAATGTCATCCTGCTTGCATTTTTGTGGGTCACCGCCTTTCAGGACCATGTCCACGATCTCACTGACCCAGGTGGTGCCTGGTAGGGAGAGGTTGGGTGTCCAGCTGATGCCATTCCCACTGGAGACCCATCTCAGGCACCAGAGGGTCACCATCTACCAGTGTTGCCTTTTGGCACACCCTCGGTCCCAGCCAAGGCACCTGTAGCATGGGCTCTCTTCCTGGGCCTGGCCCTCCTTTGGTGCCTGGGGATGCTCACCAGATTTGGGGTAGGTGACCACCACGATGTCCTCGGGGTGGCTCTGGAAACTGTCAACCCGCTCCCAGTTGAGAGCAAAGGCACTGACCATGGGGATGCCATGCATGGTGCGCCAGGGCTGACGCAGGTAGGTGTCTGAATCGGCCATCCTGCTGGGGACAGGGACATGTGGCAGGGCTGGCTGGCAGTGAGGAGCATCATGGGGCCATCTGCTTCCCTGAGGGCCCCAAAATCCTGCTGAACCATCCTGGCCATAGGAAGGAAACCTTGCCCTGCTTGCTGGCATTGCAGGAGGTGACACCTGTTTTCTGTGGGGATTTTGGGGCCCAGATGGCAGTGCAGGGAGAGTGGAAGGGCACGGCAGCTCTGGGGCCTCAGGTCAGACAGGCAGTGGGCAGCTGCCCACACCAAACTGGCAGCGCTCTTCCTGGGCGTAAAAACTCGCAGGCATTCCTCCTGGCTGGAGTCGCAGGCTGCTTTCTCTTTGCTCTTTCCTCCCCATCTCCCTGTCGTACCACAGCACGGGGGAAGCCTTGCTTTCAGGGGGCTTGAGTGAGGGCTTGACAGAGACAAGAACGAGGAGCAGAACTCACAGGACTCTCTCCCTAGGAAGCCTTTCCACCCATGACCCAGGATAGAAACGCTAGACACGGCGTCGACAAAACTCCCACGCTGTGATTTTTGTTGAGAGGCTTGGTGTCTTGCTTCCATCTCCCGGGGGCTTGCGGGGACACGGAGCCCCCGCACCCACCCCCGCGGGCCCCCCGCCTATGAGGCCGGGGCACCCCGAAAGGACGGCGGCCAAAGCCCCCCGCTACTTGCCTCTTTTCCGGGCGCTCTGGCAGGGAGCAGGCAAAGCTTGGCCCGCCGCTTACGGGGCGGGATTTGTTAATTTCCTCCCCCTGCCTGGAAGATGGAGGCGCCGGGGGCACCGCTGGGACAGGAGCCTGGAGCGAGCTGGTCCCGGTGCTGCGGTGGGAGGAGTGCAGGGAAGGGGCGAGCGGGGATGAGGACGGTCCCCAAATGCCTGTGATGGGCTGGCCGTGCTCAGCGCCCGTCGGGACGCACACGGGCAGCGGGAGTGGAAATCACAGCTCCCCCCTCCACCCGCTGAAGTAAACACAGGGAGGAAATCCCAACCCACATCCCGGGACATTGAACATCAGCATGTCCTGGTCCAAGAGTCACCTGCGTGGATGTCCCCAGCTCCTCACACGGACGTGGGGCTTGCGAGTGGGATGTGGAGTTCAGGCTTTGGTCGTACCCCTACTCCACTCAAATACGGGTCCAAAGTTTGCGGGGTTGCAAAGCACAAGTGCTCCTGGGAAAAGTGTTTAATGGTGCCGATGGTGGGGAAATGTTCCTCTTTACCTTAGCTGGGAGGGAGAGGGAAGGGCAGGAGAGATGGCAGCTGGGCAGGGCCAGCAGCTGAGCTGTTGGCAGCCTTGAGAAAAACGTCTCTGATTTATCTCCAGGGCCAAGTTCCTGCTCAGGATTGCCACGGCAGGTGTTCAGATGTTTTGCTGTCCATGTGCCAGCAAAATTGGTTGCATGTGCAAACAGGGCAGGCAAAGCCAGGAGCTGAGGAAGCACATCTTCCAGTGGAAGGCATCTCTACTGGAGATGGCATCATGGCATTTAAATGAATGTGTGAAAATTATTTATTTCTGTGAGGCAGGTCCCCTCATAGCGCTGCTGCTCTTTAGCAGCTGGATCTGGGCTGCATCTCTTTCGGGATAGAACAACCTATGAGCCTGTCTTGCCAAGAAGATGCAGTCTTGTAAACTGAAGAACCAGCCAGAAATGGGGTGTAAATGGGGAACTTGGGGTTCCAAAGCACACCCCTGCCCCCGTGGGACACGGATTGGTTTGCTCCAGGTATTCCAGAGCAAGGGCAAGGTGCAGTGAGGTTATAGGTTGAAAGGTGTGTTCTTTATCCAGCAAGGACAGTGATAGTGCTGAGCCTGGCCACATACCAGCAGGGAGCTGTTTCCCTTCACCTTTGTTCCACAGACCATAGGCTGCCAAGCTCCAGCTGGGCCAAGGAGAGCCTGACCACCACCCACTCTGTCAAGAAACTTGCCACAACCCAGAGGTGTGAAGGCTCCTGTGCACGCAAGGGCTGTGGCAGCACTGGACTCGCTGTTACTCTGGGGATTTTCCACTCATCATCAATCTTTGTTCCCTCCAGGCACCTTGGTAGGCTGGGGCAGCCCAAGCTGACAGGGGCCAGTGGTGGTTTCTGGGAAGGTGCCCTCTCCTGGTGATGCCTGACCATCACCAAGTAAAAATCCACTGTGTGCCCACCCTCTCTCCTGATGACCATGAAGGTGTTCCCAGACACTGCCTCGAGTTCAGGGGGTTCAAGCCCCACCCTCATTTTCCCTGCAAGCAATGACTCAACCTCCATTTATCACAATTTATTGCAGGGGGAAAAGTGAATTAGTGCAAGAATCTCCATCTGGATCCATCCTTCCCATTGGGAAAGCAAGGGGAAGCACAGTCCTCCTGGGAAGGGAGATGAGCCCCTTACACTTCCATCTGGAAGTGGAGGTCAGAGCCTGCCATGAGCTTCTGGTAGTGCTGGTCGAAGCGCTCGTTCTGGGCCACAGTGAAGTGGTTCTTCCAGTCTCCAGTGGTCCCTGGGGGCAAGAAAGTAACTGGAGTAAATCCTCACACACATGACATATTTGCAGCCACAGATGGGGGCTGAAATACAATCCAGGGACATCCCTCCCAAATCCTCTACCACCAGCCGAACCCCCACCTTTCCGGAGGAAGGGGGAGATGCTGTGATCCATCAAGGTGGGGAGCATGGTCTCATAGTTGGCAGCAGGGTTCTTCTTCATCTCCTGGAAGGACGTGTGGTGCAGGATCTTATCCACTGTTCCCTCTGCCAACTCCTTGCCCAGGAACTGCAAGATCTTCTGTATCTCCCGCCGTGGGTCCTGCAGGGTGATTGACATGAGGAGGCTGCCAAAAAAGCTGGGGGGCAACCAGGGCTCCTTCCCCTACCTCCCACCCTCACCTTCTTCATATCCTCATAGAAGAGGTAGAGTATCTTCTTCTTCTCCTTCTTCTTCTCCCACCATCCACGCACGTGGTCGTACCAGGATCCATAGGGCACTGTGGGATATGGTCAAGGGATTAGCTGAAAAGAGGGGTAGCGGGGGATGTCCTTCCCACAGGCAGGGCAGGGTGGGCATCCTGTGGCTCAGCTCACACCTTTGCCAGCCATGAAGTTCTCCATGAACTCAGCCTTCGTGCCAGGGTCTTGGTGCATCTTAGCCATCTGGTGGAAGTAGTAGTAGGAGACCACAACATCCTTGGGGTTGCGGGCCATGTAGATAATCTGGAGAGAGCCAAGGATGTGTTTGGGAGGTACAGAGTGGTGCCTCCTCCCCACCAGCCCAGATGGGGAGAGAGACAGGGATCACCTGCCATGTTACCTTGCAGTCCTTCTCCCAGAAGGAGGTCGGAAGAAGCTGGACTGGGAGATGGGTCTTTACCAGCCGCGGGGATGGGGTCTTCTCCAGCTGATCAATGCCTGTGGCACAGGGGACTTAGAGGTGTGAGCCCCAGCACCCTCAACCCCATGCTGGCTCTGTTCCCTCTCCACCCAAGCCAGGCAGCCAGGCTGGGGAAGCTCACCACTTATTTCCTCGGGGGCCTTCAACTCCAGGAAGGGCACGCGGTTGTAGATGGCATCCCGTCGGCACTTCTCCACATCACCATCATGGTAGATCATGTCCATGATCTCGCTCAGCCATGTTGTGCCTGCCGCACAGGGACAGCATTGCAAAGGCTGGTGTCACCCCATCCCCCCTGCACCTTTCCCCAGGACCACTCACCCGATTTGGGGTAGGTGGAGATGAGCAGGTCATCTGGACGGGCTTGGAAAGCCTTCACCTGTGGCCAGCCCTCGATGAAGCTCTTGTAGAGGGGAATGCCATGGAGGCTTCCCAGCTCCTGCCTGATTTCATCGTCCTGCCCCATGGCTGACAGTGGGTCCACACAGCACTGGCTGTCTTCCCTGCTGGCAGCTGCACAACCTCCGAACTGGCTGGCACCTGTGCCAGGACTGTGCCTAGGGTAGTACTGGATCCTGTGCCTGGACTGTGCCCAGGGCAGTGCCCCATCAGGCAAAGTCCAGCCCAAATCACATGTGCAAGAGGTATTGCCAGTGCCACGGGAGCATGCCCTGATCCCTGGTAGGATACTTCAGTAACGTGGACGCTGACCAAGCACTAAGCCCAGGCCATGAGGGGTTGGGAATGGAGCCCAGCATCACCTCTCCTCCCACCTGTCTGCACTTCTCGCCCAGCTACAGCCCCTGTAACGAGTGCCACGGGGTTGTGGAGGTGCAGAGACAGTTCTGCCACCCAGGGCCCCCGCTGCAGCCATACCTCTCAGGATTCCATGTGCTCTGGTGCCCAGGAGCCCTGGCACCTCCACCCTCCTGCCCTCTCTGCCCTCCTGAGTGCTCCTTTGAAACCTCTTGTAGGAAAGGGATGAAATAACTGATCCGCTCCATCCTGGATGATCTGATCCAGCTGGTTGTGCAGTACAGGAACCCACCGTGATGGAGCAGGTGCTGCTCTTGCTCCAGGAGGAGATCAAGGAGAAGCAGAAGCCAAGTGGTGCCTGACCCAGACCAGGTCATGGGGTCTCAGGGAAAGGAGGCACCAATGCAGGATAGAGCATCTGGACCATCAGCAGAAATAGTCTCACAACTCTGACCTGCTGTATCCAGTGAGGGAGTTGGAAGACAGTAAACAGCTCTGTTACCCTGACAAAAAAATACATGTAGCATTTTCATCTGATGATGAGGAAATAACATGATGACCTTTATTTAAAATTGAAATACAGATGATGGACAGGGTCAGCAAACTGCTACCAAAAAAGTGCCATATATGGTGACCACGGTATCAAAGTTCCAGGAAAAGTCTGGCAGACTTACATGGGATGGAAACATACAGGATGACCCCCATGACAGAGAATCAGGAAAAGATGATTCTTTATCTCCTTCAACTCCCCCTGAATCTACGAGATCTCAGGATGGAGAGGAAAATCACACACAAATAACTATCCCATTTGATCCAATTCAGGTGGCTGATTTTTGAGAGAATTTTGGCCATAAACCAGGTGATATTGAAATCCAGCAACTGGAATTCTATCAGTGCAGACACAATAATGGCCCACACATTCAGATTCCAGTTGATTCTCATCAACAATTAATTGCTAACACCATTGAAACTCTCCAGGATAATGTGTCTCTTTGGCTCTTGGTTGTATTCAAGCCAGTTGTGGGTGCAGTATGTGACAGCTGCTATCACATGGGAAGGTGCAGACGGTGCTCCCTTCCCCTTAAGGGTGGGATGCCACAGTGGGCTCCAATGCCCCCACACCTCCAGCGCACACTGAGATCCCCCGGCACAGACAGAGACCCACCATGGCTGAAGCCCAGTGCCCAGCACCACCCTCAGGTGCTCCAGCTTTACTGGTGCAGTTACAAAGGAAAGCACTTTGGGGTCTGGCCCCGTGACAGCCCCTCTGCACGGCCTGGCAGTGCCCAGCCTGTTCCCAGCACAGTGGCGTAAGAGCTGTGCACGCCAGCTCCTGGCTCCCTGGACTTCCCAGCACCCAGAAACTGCTAAGGTAGGACCCTGCTCCCCACTGCACCTGCAGAGCTGGGTAGGTGGGTACCAGCTCCTGCCACCTCCCAAGGTGTCACACAGAGCCCCTGGCGCCAAGCAGCACCATCTAGGGACAAGCACCCTGCCATGCCAGGCACAAGGCTACACCCTGCCCCACTGCCTGATTATTTAATCCTCTACACAGAGACCCCAATGCCTTAGGGCCGGATGCACACCCCTGCTTGCCCCATGTACCCTGGCAAGGTCCCATCCCAAAGCCATGGAAACCTGCGTGCCCCACAGTGCCCAGCTGGGTAATCACAATCCAGAGTCCCTCTTTTAGTGTCCATGCACAGCCACGTGTAGCCTCCACTCGCTATCATGTGCACGTGGACTGGTGCAGGAACACAGTGCAGGAACTTGGCACTGTCCCAGCTCCAGGTGGATCTTTGGGGATGGCTATTAGCTCTCCCATGATGGTGTTGGGGGATAAATGGATTAAAACCCTGCTCTTAGCTGGCTAGTTGCTCTTTATTCCTGAACTATGTTTCTCATCCATCCCACTGGGGCTTGGTGACCATCTCAGATCTCTTGTCTCCCATCCCTCAAAAATATCTCGGGGTGGTAGGCAGGAATGTCATCTGTAGCTCAGCGGGACACTTTGATACCCAGCTCTCGGTCCACTGCCTGGAGGAAATGTTCATTGAGAAAAAGCATCTGCCCATGGGGCAGGAGACGGTCCAGGAGGCCATCGGCGGCATCAGGACGGAGCAGGACGTCAGCGCCGGGGCCGAGGAGGCGCATGGAGAGGAGCAGGCGGGGAGCCAGGCGCCGCAGGGTCATCTCAGCCAGCGACAGATTCTCTTGGGGCTCACAAACCAAGGCGAAGGCGAGGGCCAGCACTGACAACCAGACTACTGTCACCCGCTCAGGGAATGGGTCTCCGGGGGGCATCTGGAAAAGACCCCCTGGAGCATCTTGGAGTGACATCGGCTCATCGGGCAGCTGGGGAAGCTGTGGGGAGGACGGGCGCCCCAGGGATGACTGAAGCAGTTGACACTGGGAGGCCACTTGCCTGGAAGAGAAAAAGAGGACCCTCGTGTTAAGGACCCCCACCTCATCCAGGGACAGTGACCCCTTTGTTGAGGGAACAGGGTCCCAGGGGTCCTGCTGAGCCCAGGATCCCCAGAAAGGGTGGATCCCATGAATGAATGGTGGGGAGAGCATGGTCCTGGGGGTCTCGCTGAGCCCTGTCCCCCGAGAGGGAGGCTGCCACAGGCTCTCCTCAGGAATGGAGGTGTCCCACAGTCAAGGGGTGTCCCAGCCCTGGGGGTCAAAGCCCAGGAGCCCTCCCATCAAACAAAGGGTGTATCACTGCTGTGGGGATCCCAGGGAGACGAAGGAGTCCCAAGTCCAGAGGGCTCAGGAGATGTGGGGCACACGGTGCCGGGTGTCGCAGCGAGCCCAGCATCCGCGGGAGGGGATTCCCGCGGAGCCGGATGCCCGGTGTACCTGGCCACGACCAGCAGCTGCTCCTTGCGGCGGAGGCGCTGCCGGGGGCCCCCGGGGGCGGCGCCGGGGGGGGTCCCGAAGGCGCGCGCGTACAGCACGCGGCAGGGGGCGTGGCCGGTGGGCCCGCCCGGCGCCAGCAGCACGAACGCCCGCACCATGGCGGCCACACGGCCCGGCCGCGGCCCCAGCGCGCCGGAAGCGGCGGTGCGGGCCCGGAAGGAGCGCTCTGGCGGTGGGCGGTGGGGGCAGCGGGTGACGATTGGCCAAGGCTCGGGGGCAGCGGGAGCTGATTGGCGAGCAAAGGGCGGTGGGCGGGGAAAGCGCGCGGGGCTCGGCCGGGCGGAGGCGGTGTCCCCCGTGAGGGAGCCCCGCGCCCCCTCGGCAGCCGTGCCTGCTCCGCGTTCCCCTGCCCGGGCTTCTCCGTGCCACGGCCACGGAATGCGCCACGGGGTCTGTGGCTCAAAGTGGCAGCGCAGCACAGTTTTGGGATCTAAATGCGGCAGGAAGTGTGTGTTCCTGGGCGTGGGGTGGAGACGGCTGGGAGGGGACATGGGGGTAAATGTGGCTTGAGGTGGCTCAGGGGGACATGGCCGGGGCCAGCATGGAAAGGTGCTTGTCTTGAGTGGGGCACACGGAGGAGTGTGTGGCTGGCGCTGGGGACATCCTATGGCCAGAAAGGCCATGGAGAGGGATATCTAGGTGGAGACATGAGACTCTTCCATGAGACCTTTCCAGCCGTGGAAAACTTGTTTTCTGCCTCAAGTGACTTCAGTGGTAAAGCTGGTTTTTCACAAATTCTTTATGGCTGTGGCTGGCTATTCGTGGGTTGAAGGTGGGAGCGGGAGGGTGTGAGGGTCTTTCTGGCGTGTTTGGGGACGTGATAACCCGGCTGTGGTGTGCATATTCAAGCTACAGTGTCCGTGTTCCAGCCACGGTGTCCAATCCCAGGCATGGTGTCTGAAAGGAACACGACAGATGTGCCTTTATAAACAGACCATGTGAGTCTGCTTGTAGATAGGGCTAGGAACTTATAGATAGAGAAGTAACAGAAGAAACTACTCGTTCTAGAAAATGTTACTAATCAACACGGACTGTTGCTTAGCCAAGGCCGTGTTAAATTCCTGAACCTAGAGAAAAAGAACAAAGACTTTATAATATTAGAATAATGAATACCTTTATTTTTCTTCTTTCTTTTATATAACAAAAAGGGGGGGGGGGTGCGTATCAGAGGGAGGCGTAGAGTAGGTGATTTGGGAAGTCTGTACTTCAGCCAATGGGGAAGAGGAAGAAAAAGGGGGCTGAGCTCCCCAACAATCTGAGACACCTGATGGGAAATTCCCATGGCTTCTCCCTTTATTTGAATAAAGTCACACGACTTCTCTGTCTCCCTTTTGGACAAAAACCTCTGACATGCTGGATTCATGTTCCTAACAGCGTCCCTCCCGGGGCTGTCTCCCAGGAGTGCATGGCCAGCCTTACCCTCACGCAGCCCTGCCGCGCCTCGCTGGGCGCTCCCGCTGCCGCTCCCGCTCCCGCTGCCGCTCCCGCTCCCGGGGCTGCGGGGTCGCGCCGCGGCCGCCAGGGAGCGCCCGGTGCGGGACAGACGCGCGGCGCCGCCTAGCGCTCCGCACAGTCCCCGTCGCGGCCGCCAGGGGGCGCCGGCGGCCGGGGCCGCGGCAGCCTGAGGGGCCGTTCCCGGGGGTCCCGTCCCGGGAGCAGCTGCAGGTCAGCCCTCCGGCGACCCCTCCTGCCAGGGGTCCTCACCTGGTTTCGTCTCCCCTGATCATTTCTAGAGTCACTGCCGGCAGGACGAGCCCTTTGGCCCCGCGCTGGCTCTGCTGTTAGAGTAGCTGGCAGAATAGCTCGAACTGTCCGCTCCCAGAGCCACTCGTGCCCGAGCGACCCGCGCCGGGTGTGGGTCCCCCAGGAAGACGCCGGGATGCCTGCACCGAGGACGATGCCTGCCCTCAGCCCGCTGCAGCTCCTTTGTGACTCCAGTTAGTTTGCGTCTCCAGCTCGGGGAAGGCTCTCTCTAGTTTCTGCTTCACCTCGTTTGCAGCTTCAGGTCTGTCCCCAGTTTGTCTCAGGTTCAGCTCGTAGATTTTGTTCGTGCCTCAAGCATGTTTTAGACTGCAGTTTGGTTTCACCTTCCTCGGCTTCTTTCCGGCTTTCAGCTTATTTGCAGCTCCAGTTTGTTTCCATGTTCGGTTGGTCTGTGGCTCCAGTTAATTTCTGCTCTGGCTGGTTACTGCTTGTGCTTGTTCAAATGATCTTGGCTTTTGACAGGGCCACAAATCAATCACTATCATAACTCAAATATGAACAATCTACATAACTGTAGATTGTCTGAAGATGGACTAAACTTGGACCAGTGCAAGAGGACATTCAGCCTCTAGTGGGATTCCCCACAGGTGCCCCAATACTGGTTCCCACTGTCAGGAAAATCCACAAATGCCTGAAGTTTATGTCCATAAAGGAGACAGAGTCCTGCAAGTTTATTCGAATAAAGGGAGTGAGTCCCACACAAGCTCGTGGGGTTTCCTCGCTCAAGGTTTTAGAGGGCGCAGCCTCTATCTTCAACTCCCAGCCGCAGGTTGCCCTTTTCCTTTCTCCACTGGCTGAGGTACTGAGAAGGTACGGCCTTCTCAAACCACCTACCACATATTCCCCCTTGTACCTACTGTTTTACCCCAAAGTTCAGAAGATAAGGTTTGTGCAGACCCACTTGTTTTTTTCGGGAGCCAAGCTGTCTGGTCTCTGCAACAAACCTGCTGCCCAAAGTTAGTACAGACATTAAGACCCTTTTAAAAAACTTTACTACCAATACTGTCACTCATCCAATTGTAATGAGATTAGCTTTCCTCTCACCACCTTGATGAATAATGGGAATGAAGTTCCATACAAGGTAAAGAACAAAGTGGTTAAGCAATGGAAGCAATAATCACAGGAATGTGGAAGAGGGAAAACTGATGGCCTAAATTCTTGAAGGGGGAAAACACAGAAAGATAACACCCTTCTAATCCAGAATGTGTAATGATGAACTAAAAAAATCCCCGGTTTTGACTGGTTCTATAGTGAGAACTTGCCCTAGTGATGAACTTTTGCTCCTTTTAACAGTAAAAACGACACCCCAGCTCAGGCATCTCCCCCTACAAAAAGACCACCACTCACCGAGCATGGGCTATATTTCTTGGGACACAATGGCTTTAATTTGAAGTTGAGAAAGGACAAGCCAATAACAACTTAAGCCAAGTAGTGACTTCAATAAGACTTAATAGCCCAAGATTGTGCCTCGGGGTGCTGGCTCTGTGGTTTACCACCCAGCACCTCTTTCTGCAGAACAGTAAATCAAATTACATGGTTAGAGAAATCTCCTTTTTTACAGTGACTCAGTTTGGTTGAGTACCTGATCCTGTGTGTTAACCTATAGAAGCTCTCACCCTTTTCACCACACTGTTAATTCTCTCAGTAATTTTGATACAGGGAGATGATCCAAGAAATGTTTGCACATTGTTCCAGCAGGGAAGATACATTTTCCTTGAAAATAGAGCCCTGCAGCCTCAGACTGTGTTCAGTGGCTGCTGCTATATCAAATTACTTTTCCTTCTTGCCATTACCATCCATTCTTACCTGCTACAAGATAACTGCTGTCCCCTCCAGCAATATCAGGAACCTATAGGGCAAGTCAGTTCAGCTATAGGTAATTTCAAGGTAGTTTGTGTTGTGGTGACTTCATTGGTTTTGTTCTTTCAAGCATTATATGCCAGCCTTATGCAGAATCCAGTACATAAAGGGGCTACAAGACAGCTGAAGAGGGGCTTTGGACAAGGGCATGGAGTAATGGGACGAGGGGAATGGCTTCAAACTGACAGAAGGCAGGTATAGATTATATATTAGGAAAAAATTCTTCCCTGTGAAGGTTTTGAGACACTGGAACATCCCTGTAATTGATCAAGACCAAGCTGGGTGCTGCTTTGAGCGACCTGGTGAGTGGCCCTGTGCATGGCAGGGGCGGTGGAACTAGATGATCTTTGAGGTGCCTTCTAGCCCAAGTCATTCTATAATGCTAAGATACAAACAGGTCTGGTTCTGTCTTTTGGGGGCTGTACTTGTGCAGTTGTGTTTTCCTTCTCTTATGCCCAAACTAGAATTTTTCCTGCTGTCTGAAATAAAAGAAAATTAAACAGAAAGAGAGGAATTAATCACTCCCCTATTTAGAACAGGATGAGGATTATAAAAAGCCCCAAACAAACAAGAACAAAACAAACAATTGAGCAGCCAAACCCCAAAGCATGGAAGGATATTTTGGTACTAACCTTGCTGGTGCAGCTAACATAAATGTTTTCTGAGACAAGTGCTTGTTATGAACCAATGTGTAACAGTTAACCCATGAAGGTTTGTGTACTCAGAGCAAGGCTGGGGTGGTGATTACTTTTGGCTGCACTGATTTCAGGTGAGTTTTGCAATTCTGCTTTGCTTCACTTCTGAAAAAAATCAGAAATGCCTTCATGAAGTCTGGCAGAGGGCTGATGGCATTGGAGTGGCTGGAACTGGAGAAATCCAGAAAAACCTGAGCTTCCTAGTGCTGCCAGGCTTAGTTTGGCAAGTGAAAGGAAATTCAGTTGCATTCTGACAGTCCAGCCTCTTGATCAGGGAAAAGAATTCCCAGTAGTGTCTCTGAAGCCACCTCTCACTAAACAATAATCAGCTCCAAGGAGAAACTCTTGGCTCAAAATAATATAGTTCCACCATGTACTGAGCGAAGTGGTTTTATCTGCCTTTTAAGGGGAAAACTACTTTATGACAATAGAAATCCTCTTAGGTCATCAGCCTGTACCCTGAAGCAGCCTTTCTTGTGTTCTCTTTCCTCCTCACCATTGGGTTTCTTGGGTTATTTTTAATTTACAGTTACTGTCACATTTACAGTGGAGATTCAACCTGTGTGCAGCAGGTTGCATAAGCTGCCTCCCTGAAAATGAGCACATTTACACTGTCCTGATTGATTTCATGGTGAAAATCGTATCTATGATTTTCTGTCTGTCTATTGTTTTCTTGGAGAAACCTCCCCTCTGCTGGCAGCACTGATGATGAGGACCAGGAATAGTATGGCCAGGTGGGAGTGTCTTGTGAGCCTGTCGTGTCCAAAGTGTCACCTGCTGCACACGTGAGCAGGAGCTCGTGCCAG